GAATAATGCTGGTCAGGGAGGCAGAACGGGAGACTAAGGGGCAGGGTGAGCATGGGCTCTGACCCCTTGTCCACAAGTAGCACGTGCTTCCTCTGAGAAGATTTTGTGATCAAAGCAAGACCACAGGTGATCCACAAGAGTTTGTAATCTGTCAGAGAAAGCGAGGCCCTAGTGAGAAACAGCTATGCAGTCTGCACTCACTGCTGACACAGAGGACCCTGTCCACACCCACATAGGACAAGCATGTTCAACACAGCAATGGGTGTATTTATTAACAATAACTCAATGAACAACAGCCCCGTGATTGATCACAGGCCTAATTTTCAGAGTCAGGTTTATGGGTAAATTCAGGGCATCCCTACAAGCCTACCTGCCTTTGAGGTCAGTATTCTACCTTTTGGGAGGCTCTCTGGAGCAGGATTTAAAGCATCTCCAGGAGGCTCTCCCCCATGGGCCCTAGAGGCCCAGAGCCAACACCACTGTCTCCCCCACATTTGGGGGCTGAAGAGTGTGACCTCTCAAAGTCACCAGTTCTCCTCTCCCGCTGACCAGCTCAAGCTCATGGACCATCTGATTTAGGTTTTCCAGGTGTCTAACCATTGTGCTCTTGACATGCTCGACTTCTGTAGTGTCCACGGAGCTCACTGTGTGACTTTCAGAGTGAGAGGTGCCAGCCCCATAGGGAATGGGGGACAATCAGAGCACCTGGTAAGTGTTCTGAAAGGTATTTTATCTCTTAGCGACTTCAGCCTTGACCTTTTGTCCCTGAGTGAGGTCCCTGGTTAGGACCCAATCTGAGTGCTCCCCAGTCGTGCTGAGGAGGCCTTGGCCTCTCCCGGGGAGACAGAAGATTTGCCACGTGTGTCCATAGCACCGCTGAGGACTCAGCTGACAGGAGACAGAGAGGGGCTGTGTCATGACAGGAACTGGCCAGGCCATGGAGATGCTGCCACCACTGTCCCCAGCATGGTTCTTGGCTTCAGGATCTTCACATTCATATCAGGTGCAGAAGGAGGTGTGGAAAGGAGCCATGGAGGCTGAGTGCTGGTGCGTCAGGGGCCTGATGTGTATCTGCTTCAGATCTATCCCCTAAGGAGATACCTGAGCACAGGAGGAGAGAGAAGCAGAGTCCCCTGCTGCACCATGCCTGTCACCAGGGCAGAACCTGGGGAGAATGGGGAGGAGACGGGTCCAGGCCAAGGTGCAGCCAACCCTGAGCTCTTCAACCAGAGATCTACAGATCTGCTCGGACCCCCTCAGTGTCCCTCTCTGCCACCCACATCCCTGAGGCAGGGGCTCCTCATGCACATCCACCCCCCACCGCTGGAGAAGTCTGACAGCTCCAAGACCATCAGGAGGGGGCTCACAGGTGGACCTGTCTGAGGGTCACTCTCCTCCTACCCTCCGCAGTGTGGGGGGGTGCATAGGGAGGAGGATGCAGGGGAAGAAGCGCATGAACATCCTGACCTGGAACCTAATCTGAGCCCAGATCTGAGTCTGCAGAGGCCCTTGGGTGTCCCTGAGGGAGGTCTCACTCCCAGGGGGACTCAACTGCTGGGAACCTTCTTCTCAGGGAGGACAGGGCAGGGGTGGTCACAGCTGTGACCAGGCAGCCCTGGGCTCCCTGTCCCTCCACAGCTGGGCCCAGACATCCTGTCTGACTTCCCAGTGCAAACTAAAGACATGGGTCCATTCTGACTCTCTAGTAAGACATGTCGAGATGGATGTCAACTGCACAAAAGTGCACATCGTGTGGTTCCTACTTAGGACCATAAGTACTGTCTGTACAAAGTCAATCCATTAATTGTACTAGAATTTAAAACTTTTATCTATAGGCATTATAAAGTATAAGAAGTGTGAATTATGCCATAAATGGAATAATACTTCAAAACCACTAAATATTATCATTTCTACAACAATAAACCCAGATCTCTTCCCACCATGAAACCCACTGCATGGAGTAACTCGCTGAAGAGAAGCTCAGTTGCAAAGTAATGTGGGTGCTGCCGTTTGCTTCCATGGCAGAGATGGTACGTAAGTGTGAGCTTTAAATCATCTTCATGCGCATGGACGTCAGTCCCCTGTAGGATGGGAGCCCGGGCTGCAGCCACATGTCACTCTCAGCCCTCAAGTGGCTGCACGAGGTGCTGGAGCCTGGGAAAGAGCCTCCGTTCACAGCACCTTCACGTGTCCTCAGATGTGTGCAGACGGCACGGACAGACCCCGTAGCTGACAGATCTGGCCACTGGACGGCAGAGCCACCTCTTGTTCTGTGTGAAGCACACAACTCAGTGCCATTCACAAGGGGCTCAGGGCATGGACTGGGAAGGAAAAGAATTGTTCTGGAACTTGACAACTGCAGGTCCCCGGCAACAGGTGTCAGTGTCACACCTGGTCCCCTGCTGACCTTCTCTGTGGGAGGAGCCTGCTGGTCAACCCCAGGACAATTAGAAATGCATAGCAGACAGGTGGAGAAAAATCAAATATTTGAGTTACTATTTCTGTGATAAGAAGGGTTATGTGCACTTAAGTATCTTCTGAAATATTTGCTATAATACAGTATAGAGAGACATGTTTGAAAATCCAATTTTAAATTGCATAACTGACTATTTTAGATATGTTGTCAATTAAAATCTTACTTAGTCGATGTGCATTATTTGGTTCCACACATATAAGTTTAATATATTTCATTTTAATTACTATTTCAGGAATAAGGATGATTAATTCTGTAAAATAATTTACTTAGTTAAGAAAAACCAATATGTGAAACTAATATATAGAGTTTAAATTTTCGAAGCACTGAATTAGCTGACTATACAACTGGACCAGTTACATGAAAGACCCCTAACGTCATTGTTCAATTGTATGGGCTTGTAGATGTGATAAAATAACTACAGGTTGAACTTGAAAGATACAGAAAGAATGTGTTGCCTCTATAATGGCCTTCGGTTCCTATGAGGACCTCCCTTGTGAGCTCCACCACCACCACTAAATATAAAAATAAAATACGTCTACGAACGCACAGAACTTTGGCTTTATACTAAAATTCAGCTGCTACAGAAGAGGCTTGCAATATCATTTTTAATCCTCTCCCTTCTTTGTTAGTGACACAGGCCAAGTGGGACAGCAGACACACAGACTCTCACGTGAGCAGAGTGACATGTGACAGTGACCCCAGGGGAGGGGTGGGTGCAGTGGGCTGTGGGGCCGACACCCGAGCAAATCATTCTCCGTGGGCAGTGGAGACCTGGCAGGGAAGATGTCACACACACTAGACTGCGTGCATGACCAGACATGTTATGGCTACACTAGACTCACATCAGACAAGAGGAGCGTGCACGCGTGTGAGGAATCCGTGGCAGGGAAGTAAATGGGAAAACAAAGAAGGAACACGTCAGACATGCTGAGGAGAGGGTCCCATAGGACCCATGTCTTCCTGTATTTGTGAGGGAAAGGACAGAGGGAATAAAATAGGAGTCTTGGCTGTCAGGTTTGGAGACTGCGAAGAAGAAGGGGCTCCCCTGAGTGAGGACAGGACAACAGAACCAGCAGGGAGAGGTGATAATTAATGTGTGTGGAGGACACTGGGCAGGTGCCATCATGGCAGTGAATCCCTGTAGTCACAGCTGAGAGTCCAGCTCCTCCCAGGCGGAAGGTGGCCATAAATGCTCATCCCCTTCAGGGCCCTTAGGAGGGATTAGCTTGCACCCAGAAATATCTCAGCAGAGCCTGGTGTGCGCCTGAGAGCCCTGTGGCTGGATCCTGTGGAGAAAGGGAGGGAGACAAGGAGAGGTCCCCCAGGGCGCTCTGGGACCCATGCAGAGAAGCACTCTTTTAACAAGTGTGGATTCATTCATTCTCCCCAGTCCTGTGGATCCAGGAGCTGATGCCCAAAGACCTCACCCCTCAGCTCCTTCCCTCCCATTCCTCTCCCCAGGCCTGGAGGCCTGTCAGTGGCAGCCAAGGCCAGCCCAGGGGTCCTGGGGAACAGAAGCAGGGACTGCATGGTGGTCTTGGGAAAGGAGGACATGGGGTCTCTGGAGAGGGGGCTCCAGAGACTCCAGACCTCAGGGAACAGGATCTGGAAGGATAGATGATACTGTGTGAGTCATTGATTAGGGCTCTCTTCCTCCTTCTCCTCCTTTGTGATGCAAAGTGAGGCCAAGTGTAGTAAAAAAGATACATATACTCTGCCTTTATTTTACAGGAAATACATTCCCGCCCATTGGAGAGGCTCCACAGGATGGTTTGTTTGACTTTAAAATGAGAGGAAAAACCAAACAGAAAGAAACAACAACCACACAAAGTGTGAGCGCCAAGGGCTGCGCTGCCAGGGCTTTTTACATATTTGACCCAGAGACAGCATTTTATGTTAAAAGCAGGGCATTCAGACAATGTGGGTTCTGAACTCCAGGCTCACTGCCGGTTCCAGGCAAACAAACACTGCTTTGGTGTGAAATCTCTGTTATGGAGGGGAGGCTTCTCAGAAAGTTAATCTCTTTAATTAGCTTTCTCATTTCTCTTATCCCTGGGGGTTGGGATAAGCAAAGATATGCATCTAGAGGGGGCCTGGCTGGCTCAGTCCCTGGAGCATTGACTCTTGATCTCAGGGTTGTCAGTTTGAGGCCCACGCTGGGTGTTGACATTACTTAAAAATAAAATCTTAAAAGAGAATATATATATATGTGTAATGATTCCTAAAACATAGTGTGATGTTGTGTGCTGCCATCTGGATGGATTTCATCTTCTGTTCCACATGTCTTACAAGGGAAAATGTGTTAGTGATGTGAATACGTATTAGTATTAATAGACATTCTGTTTTACATTTTAGAGGCTCCATGGGCACCATGTGTAAGGAAAGGACAGAGTTCCAGCGGGGCCCCATCTCATGCCCGAATCCCCGGGAATGTGTTCTACTGCTGTCACCAGTGAAGGGATTAAGCACCTCCGGACACATGTCACTGCTTGGAACCCAGGGCCCCAGGACTTTGTCCCCCCCTTCATGTGTCTCTGTCACTGTGCTTAGTGCCACACTGGCATACACCTGACAGGAAGCCCCACAGAAGCTTCTCGATGAAGAGGACCAGAGAGAAGGGCCCAGGGGTTTCGGTCTCACTTCCACGTTGTCTGAGACGCTGTGAGGAGCGGTAGCTGCGCCCACTGCCAAGAACTACAGCCCAGTGAGAGTCCGCCTCGGCCTCAGCCTGCAGCCCCAAGATGCACAGAAGCCCCACATTGGCCGAGGCGTCTTTGGAGCCCGAGAAGCGGCCGGGGACCCCGGAGCCCTGGTGCTTATCGGAGTCTGAGGAGAACCTCAGCAGATCCCAGGGAGGGCTCCCGGGCCGCTGCTGGATCCAGTAGATGTCAGAGCCGCCCACACCGATGTCCCTGCTCAGGGTGCAGGTGAGTCCATCAGTTGCTTCCAGAGTTGCAGGGAGGGAGGGCGGCCGGGTCAGCACGGGCCGAGACAGGTGACCGCAGACACAGATCTCATGGGCAGGGACAAGGGTAAAGTTTCTCAGACTCTGTGACTGAGGAGCTGACACCAGCTGTAGGGCTGTCTTGTGTCCCTGAGGCCCGTCCCGACGGTGCCATGAGAAAGAAAAACAAGAAGGACAGGAATCCAGGCCATGGTGACACAGACACAGGTCCCCACAGTGGGCTGGGCTGCCCCAGGCCTCCTTTTCTCTTCCACCCTCTGCCACAGGAGGGGCTGTCCATGCAAATGGGGTCCACCCAGTGACTGCCCAGCCCCTCCCTGAGCCCGGGTGCTGGAGCTCAGCTCACAGACACACTGAGGAGGATGGGGGTTGGCCTCACCCCTGGGGAGAGCCCTGGGAGCGCACCCCCTGAGATCACACAGGTCCCTGCTCTGGAGACTCTGCCAGACCAGAGAAGACACAGCGGCTGAATCCCCATCAGGGAACACAAGACCCAGTCTCCTGTCCCAGGCTTCATTGAGTGAAACTCCTCCCTGAGCCTCCGCGGAGGGTCAGCCACAGTCTGGACCCACAGCACCCCCTGCTGGTAACAGGGCGCACACCTCACAAGGCCCAAAGCCCTGAGAGCCCAGCTGGTTTCTGCACCTCACCAGGTCCCTGTCTGTATTTACACATCCATGTTCTGATTTCTAGTACAGGTTTCTTCTGCAATCTGACGGTTGAACATTCCTCCAAATCCTTTCTTATTTTAACATGGCATAATGTGAAGGAGTATTTGCAATCAATTTATATGATTTTTTTTAAATTCCCAGACCTAAAAAATAACCTCTCTTCGGCTTTTCTGACACATTAGGAAACATATTTCTAGCCGATGCAGAAAGTAAATGGAGATAAAGCACAGATACAGAGAGTTCAAACATCTGGCAGCTTGATGCTACGACGGTATGTGAAGTTCTTTTTTTTTTCATTATGATCAGATAGCCACCATATAGTACATCATAAGTTTTTGTTGTAGTGTTAAACGATTCATTATTCGCGTATAACACCCAGCGCTCATCCCAATAAAAAGGTGATTGAATGCTCATTTCTGAATTGCTAGTAAATTGTTTAATGAAATTTGCATGATATTTTTTCCCTTTATAATCATCTGTGTTCAGACTTAAGTGACATCAGACATAAATATTCATATTAAATTCAATGATATTTATTAAACAAAGTTATTCCTGAAGAAGTAGTTAATGTGTAACTAACTGTATGTATGAAATTTTGAGATGAAGAGAACCTAAAACTTAAGGGGAAACGGAACAATTAGAAAGGATAATTGAAACATCTGAAGATGTATGTATCTGTTCTCATCCATCACTACAAAATGATGAAGCAAATGAGAAGAAACAGAAGAGTCATAAATACCATCTATGCCTTAGTTCATCAAGGATGAGCAGGGACACCATGGTTTCCACAAGAATTCCTGACCACTAGAGGGAGCCCTGAGACAACCCTGCTGGTTGTCCCAGTCATTCTCATGGGTCCGCATTACTGAATTACCGTCCCTGAGGACTGTCTTGGGGGCAAGTAGGAGCCAGTGCTGAATGGGAGAATTGGGAAGCTGGATGAGGGAGAACCAGGGCACCAGGAGCCCCTCACAATGAGAAGGACAGACAGCAGCTCTCCAGATGTTCCATGGTGATGCTGCTTGATGCAGCCAAGTGCTGCCCTTGGGCTGTGCTTTCAATCCCTGAAGGACATGCCCATGCACCCCTCCTGCCCTGGGCTAGGGTAGCAGTGAGTCCCAAGGCAATGTGTGCAGTGACCCCCCCTCCCCCCACCCCACTTTCTCATGGAACCAGAGCTGAGGACTCAGGGGCTCTCTCGCTAACCGGGGCAGCTGACGTACTGTGCATATTACTTACCTCACATCTGCTGTCCCTGCAGGTTCATGCCCTCAAAATCTTTCCACTAGTGTCCTCATGGAACGCCTTTCTATGGATGAAGGGCAGAGGAATCCTGGCCATGCTGAAGCCCCAGACTCTGCTTACAGAGGACAAGTATTTGGAAATCTGACACTCCCATCCACAGGTGTCACTGATCCTATGACCATTTGCCTTCATAGGCCAGGTATCTTCATACAAATCTGTCCCTGTTTGACTGTCCATCTATCCCTGCCTGGATGTAGGCCAGGATGACAACTCATGATGATGGAGGATGAAATTTGATGCAGGGGTGTGAGTCAGTGCTGAGTACTCATGTGGTTTCTGGGGACCCAACATGCAGAAAGTCTCACTTTGTTGAGGACACTGCTTGGTCAGTTATGCAACACTCACAGTAGAGTATTTTCCTAGTTGGCTTAGCCAGAGCCCTGTCCCTTCTGGAAAAGCTCAGCAGTGCCCCCTGCTGAGCTCAGAGCCCCCCTGACACCACCCAGCTCTCCTGGACCATCCTGATTTCAGATGGATTTTTCTGATGGTACTACCCAGGTGCATAGAATGAGTAGGTCTCCTACACCATGATTGGGACTGTGACATTAATTTTTTTTTTCCAGTTCCCTAATGAACTCCAGAAAGCTAAGCGCAGAATGTATTGCACAGTGATTATGTTACCAGCTATTCAGAATTACCTGGCATTTGGATTTCTTCAGCCCTGTACTGGAGCCATCACCAATCCATGACCAGCTTGAACTGGTCCTTAAGATTAAGGTTTTATCTTCCCCAGAGTTCCCCCTTGTTCATAACTGGAATTGATTGTACATGTGTTCCTCTTATAGGGTGTCTCATTCTGCTGTTGTTCTTGTTGGTGTTAAGGGTCTCCTGTTAGGTTACCCCAGCCCACATTGTACAGGACTTGACATTTGATGTCTGTATTTGTCATGAGACTATAACATTGTTGGGAAAAGTGTCTTCTGCTCATTCATACCTCTCTTGGTTTCCATTTGCCCTGTAAACCTGGAAATTCCTTATTTTCTTTTACTTCTCTGATATATTTAACATATTTTTAGTGGAGTTTTGTAATTGTTCTTAGATAATTGGTATAAAAAAATCATTGCTATAGTGGAACCTCCACTGAATTAGAGGTCCTCCTTCCACTTCTGAACTGCAGGACCCTTGTGAGCTGTTACTCACCAACACAGGGTCTGATCAAGTTTGTTGAGAGCTCCATGGACCATCACTTAGAAAAATAAGACTATCTAGAAATTTTCCTATAGTAAAAGTTTATCTGATAATGGGATTTGGGTTCCCAGGATCTAGACCTGCAATAACAGATTTATTTAACATCATCCCAACCAAAGAACCTGAGAGAGAAAGTATGTGAACTCTCGATTGGACAGGCAGAAGTGAGCATGTCTGAGGGCTCTGTCCTCAAAGGGGAGGGGTCATCTCCTGCCCCAGGGCATTCCCATGATCCCCAGGGCACCACTGGAAGAGACAGAGAAACACAGACCCGCCAGTTTCACAGTCAGGAAATGATCAGCTAATCCTGGGACAGGACCATGGGACATGTAGGGAACTTGGCAGAGGGGACTTGGGTCTCTCAGGTCACAGTCCCATATTATTGCTTTCCTTACCATCCCCACCCAACAAGTGTGGGGGATACTTTTGCTTCTTGAGACAAAGTGAGTTTGTTTGGACTGGGACACAGTAAGAAAGGTTATTTTCTTTTCTTAAAAAAGATTTTCTTTAAGAGACAGAAAGTGAGAGAGCATGATGGGGGCTGCAGAGGGAGAGGGAGAGGCAGACTCCCCACTGAGCAGAGAGCCTGATGCTGGGCTTGATCCCAGGGCTCTGGGATCATGACCTAAGCCTAAGGCAGATGCTTAACTGGCTGAGCCATCCAGGCGCCCTGAAAGTAAGTTATTTTCATGGAGCCCATAAGACAGACAGAGTCAAGTATGTGGAATTCTCTGGTTTTTGAAGCACAAGCTACACCGGAGAAGTAGAGCTGCTATTGGTCACAGGCAGGGATGGGGGAAGATGGGTCAGAGCATCTAATGGGGGGGCAGATGTTTTTCTTACTTCCCCGTGGAAGGGTAGCTTTTGTTAGCCCAGGGGCTGTGCTCAGCTCTGTGACGCTGGGAGTCAGTCTCATCCTCAGGCTGCAAGCCAGGGGTGAACAAGGGGGTCATGTTGATAAACCAGGAGCAGGAATGTTGGTCTGGGATTCCTGAAGACCCATCACTGGTGTCCTAGTTCACAGACTCAGGGGCTCTGCCTGGGACACCTTGCTCCCAGCCATCATGATAACCTCCAAAGTGTCTGCTGCACTCCGTGTGACCAAGGTGACTCATCATTGGGACCCTACTGAGAGCTTCAGAGGGAGTGTTGTTGCACATATTAGGGGTTTTTTGATACTTCACAACCCTGGCTGACACCCTGCGTGCGTAAAAGCTCCTACAGGGCAGAAAAGGAGAGGAGGACACATGTCACTTCCCATGGGCTCTGGAAACCCACCCATGGGAGCTCATGAGGGGCGAGCAGTATCATCTGTGGGGAAGTCACATATGGGACTCAGCGGTTTCCTAGGAATGCTGGATTCTCTCCCCTTCACCCTCCCCAGCCCCTAAAATAGGTTTGCTGGCCTCAGGTAGCAAATGTCCCCCATGCCTAACCCCCGTCTCCTTGACATGACAGTGGAAGACACAGACAGCACGGCAGTGAGCCAGGCCAGCTCTGAGCCCTGACCTCCCCCAGGCCTGCATTTGCCATCTTCCTGCCTCATTTCAGGAGCACAGTATACCTCCACCAGCCTCTCAGATGGGACCGGGACGGAGGGTCTTTCTGGGGCTTCAGGAGCAGAAGCCATGTCTACAGGACTGTCCACCTGCTGGGATGGTGCCTCGCTCTGACCAAGAAAGCTAGTAGCCATTGCTCATTTCTTTCACTGGGTATAAGTTCAGTTTTGCTGTGATTTTGTTTGTTTCTTATTTGATTTGTTTCCTTCATTTTTGTCTAAGACTGAAGTTTCATTGACGGGAACTTGACAGAGAAGGAGAGGCTCCTGGACAAGGTCCTGTGGGTGTCCCTACAGCTGCTTCCTCCACCCACTCCTGGGTCCCACTCACAGCAGCCATAACTCAGAGCAGGTCAGGGATTTTTTCTACTTCCCCTTCGGCCTGTGTCACTGTGAGAAGCACCACTGTCTCAACAAGACAGTGATAGTCAGCCTCGGCCTCAGCCTGCAGCCCCGAGATGCGCAGAAG